GCCGCCGGGTCAGTGTCTGTTGCTGCTCCTGAGCCGGTGTCTGTTGCTGTTCCTGAGCCGGGTTCTGTTCCTGTGCCGTGGTCGCCCTGGTCGTCTCCGCCGTGGCCGCCCGAGGCGTCTTCACCGCCGTGGACGCCCGAAGGACCTGCCCCGTTCCGGCCGCCTGCACAGCCGGATCTGCCCTGGCCGTCCGATGGACTGTCTGCTCCGCCCTGGCCGCCCGAGGGAAAGTCTCCGCCCTGGCCGCCCGAGGGGTCGTCTCCGCCCTGGCCGCCCGAAGGGTCTTCGCCGCCTGTCGTCTTCACCCTGGCCGCCGGCGAAGCTATTTATCACTGTTCCTGTTCCCCTGCACATCCCTCCCCCTGATCCTCCACAGTTCCACCTCCCTCCTGAACTCTTGTGTTCAGGAGGGGGGGGGGGGGGGGGGGAACACTGTCACTGTCACTGAGGAACACTGTCACTGTCACTGTCAATGAACACTGTCACTGAGTGTTCATTGTGTTCAGCTGTTTCTCGTCACCTCGTTTAGCACTTGTGTATATATACCCTGTCAGTCTCAGTGTTTTTGACGGAGTCCTTGTTTTATGTCCCCACACTTCCGTTCATGTATCTGCCTGTTTCTTGTTTGTTTCTGGATTGCCTTATTGGATTGTTGACCCTTGCCTGGACTGTTGTGAGTACGGATTACCCCTTATTAAATACTGCTCTTGGATCTCACGTCTCTTGTGTGTGTGTTGTGACACTTCTGCCGTCGCAGGAGAGGACGTTTGATGTAACGCAACCAATCACAGTTCGTTTTGTGCCGCGTCATGTTTAGGGGCGTGACAATATAATGTCGATGTCCCTACAATAACAGACCGGCGTGCATCTAATAAATTATTCATTCAAGAACGTTGTGCAAGTTTACTGCAACAATGGAGCCGCGAACTTCACATACTTTTGAAAATCCAGCGTTTAGTTGAACCTGATAAGCGTTCATTGTCACAGTTGTAAACACAGCGGCTTTCTTCTTCCACGAGGGGTTTTGGTGTCACGCATTTGTTTCCAGGTGGATTGATAAAGAATGCGACACTCACGTCTCCCTGACATCCTGTAGAATTCAACCAATCAGATAGCGACTTTGAAACTCCTGAAGTGTTTCCAGAAAAGTGTGCCATATGCATCAGACGTTCAGCCAACCGTCCGTGGGCTTGACATCTGAAGCTAAGGCTACTGCGTTTTGGACCCGCTGGAGTTTGTTTATTATGCATTAAGGGCAACCACCCAGTAGAGCATTACAATAATCTAGCCTTGAGGTCACGAACGCATGAACTAACTGTTCCGCATTTGTCATTGATAGTATATGTCGTAGTTTAGATATTTTTAAGATAGAAAAATTATTTTTACAGATGCTAGAAACGTGGCTTTCAAATGAAAGATTGGCATCAAAGAGCACACCCTCCTGACTGATAACGAAGACTTGACAGAACATCCATCAAGTGTTAGACAGTATTCTAGGTCAATGGTTCCCAACCACGTTCTTGGAGGCCCCTCAACACTGCACATTTTGCATGTCTCCTTTGACTGACACACCCATTTCAGATCTTTGAGTCACTACTAATGAGCTGATGACCTGAATCATGTGTGTTTGTTTGAGGAGACATGCAAAGTGCTCCAGGAATGTGGTTGGGAACCACTGCTCTATGTTATTGAAAGTAGGGGTATTTGGTCCAATAATTAGAAACTCCGTTTTTTTTTCAGAATTAAGTAGTAGGAAATTACTAGTCATCCAATTTTTTTTTTAACAGCTATGCATTCCGTTAATTTTGTGAATTGGTAAGTTTCGTCGTAATGCCATGCTTCCTAATAATAACTCCTTATGGTAGCATGTACAGGGTGAAAAGCAACGGTCAGTACTGAGCCTTGCGGTACTCCTTACATAACGTGTGATCTATATGACATCTCTTCATTTAGTGCTACAAACTGATAATGGTCAGATAATGATTTAAACCATCCCAATGCATTTCAACTTATGCCAGCATAATTTCCGAGTCTACTCAAAAGAATGTTGTGGTCGATAGTATCAAATGCAGGACTAAGATCCAGTAACACTATACAACCACAATCGGATGATAAGAACAAATCATTTGTAACTAATGAGTCTAAGCCACAGTCTTAGTACTGTGATACGGTCTAATTTCTGACTGGAAATCCTCACAGATACCATTTATTTCTAAAAAGGAACAAAGTTGTGAGGATCCTGCGTTTTCTAGAATTTTTGACAGAAACGGTAGATTCAAGATCAGTCTGTAATTGACTAATTTTCTGCGCTTTTTACTCCTGGTAGGGGCCAACTTACACCTCTTTTGCACATGCTAAACATATAAATATGTTACAGTTTAAAAGTATCCACATTAAGACTTGGTTTTCCTGCTAAGAAAAAATACCTCAAATACCCTGCAATAAAACTCACTAGAGAAGATCAAGGAAAAAGAGTGTAGGACACAGCCTTGCCCAAACTTCTCTCCTTTGCTTATCTATGCACCCCCTCTCCCTCCTTCCTTCCCTTCCCCCTGATTCAAGTCACAGAAAGTTCTATAATATACATATGAATATAAAGTAAGAATGTCTATATATCAGATATGATGTATCTTGTGAATCTATTGTTTTTCCCCTTTCATGTTTGGTATCATTTTAAATGTCTCATTTGGCATTTAAAAGTGCATTTGGTAAAATGGTCTCAATTTCACTTCAGTAACTGGTATTATGAGAAAGTCACGAAAATCTTCCTAAGAGAGAAGCTAAGAAAATTCTTTAGATAAATTCTAAGAAGTTTGTAAGAATGTTCCTAATTGCAATTCTTGAATAGTTCTTGAAAAAAGTTCTCAAAAATGTTATAGTATAAAATGTTATAAGTATATGCTATTATAATATATTATTATAAGTTGCAATTTTTATAATTTTAATTCCAATAAATTCAAGTTCCCCTGTAATTGTATCCCTTAAAACTCATCTTTGATCACCAAAATTACATATTTAAACGTTTTTCCTGAAATGTATTCATTTATTCATTAATAGCTTGAATGTAACTCTACACCCTTGCAGAGGACTTAACATGCAAATTAGCCCCGCCTCCACTCGCTCACACCAGCTCAGAATTCCTGGTCCACTCGGTCAACTTTACTGGTTTAATTTAGTGTTTGAACCAGAAACTGATTCAGAAGAAGAAGTGGAAGAGTGAATTATAAAGGCTCGAATACAAGTCGATGTATCAGAATGTTAATGCTTTTATGTGTCGCTCTCTACAACGTCGGAAACATAAGGGTAATTAATATGATTAGCCTTTTGCTTGATATGTTATCAAACAGCTAATAATGTGTTGCTAATGTTACATAAACTATGTTCCCATTCACCATTCTCAGAGTCAAACAGCTGCCTTTATGCCTTCTAACAATCAACATCATTAGAATCGCTTTGAACAAATCAGAACGTCAGTGTAGAAAAGCATTTAGTTCATCATAAAATTGAAATATACATCATAATTCACCCACTGTATTGCTAGCCATTCCGATTTTTCATATCAACAGAAAAATATACTGGGATAACCTGGCTTCTCTTGAGATTCCACTGCTTCAGAGCATAGTAATCATATGCCAACGCCCGCCTGCAAGTTTACGTGATTGGTTACAAGGTAGTTTGTGATGTAAGAAACAGACGATTTCAAACAGCGTTTTTGAGACTGTCTTTTTTTCACTTCAGTTTTAAGGAGAAAATACTCAATGGTGTTGACTTATGAATTTGAATTTGCCCATGGGTTGTCTTAAAGCATATTAAAAACACCACATAGACATATAAACAACATTAAAAACTTGATTTTTTTTTTTATTTACCCTTTGGGGATATGACAGGTTGGCAAGTATCCCTATAACTTTAAGAAAGTTATTCACAAATTTTTTTTTTTAAAAAACCTTCTTTAAATTTTTTTTTTAATTGTCTTAAGAACAATGGTGAGAAAAACATAAGAACAATCTTTAGAATAAATTTAAGGGAATACAAAATATTCTTAACTGTTTCTTAAGTTAGAAAACAATAAGAAAATAGCAATTAAGAAGATTTTTATTTTTAAAGAATGTTTCGTGAATCCGGTCATATCGCAATGCCTAAATTAATCAGCCTGTGTAATAATTCAGTTGAAATCGTATGAAAGTGCAAAATTGTTTACATCTTTATTTACTAATCTCATTTCTCTGACATGGAAATTTAACACATCTATAAACAGCATCAGACTGTTTTTAGCCAGATCAAATGAGATCAGCAGAACTTTGGTTCTTCCAGTAGGCTAGCCTAATACGTTCGGTCAGGGTCTTTAAAGATGTTCAAAATCGGACAAAAACGTTAGTCTATTCATCGTTCATAGTTTTTTTCTGATATTTTTTTTTTTTTTTTTTTTTTGGATGGTCGTAACGTTCCCGTAATGTTTGCAAGATTATACAATGGAATGTTCGTTCACTTAAAAAAAAAAAAAAAAAAAAAAAATGGACGTTTTGAATGTTTAGAGAACTTTCAGAAATAACATTTTTATAACTTAATCGGAACATTAGCAAAATGATCTTAGATTTTATTTTTTTTAGATGATACAGACAGTAGGCTAATTTAAAATTGTAAAGGCAGAGATACTACTCGCTTAAGGATGTGACGTTGGAAGAACATCAGTGGAGTTGCAACACTGTCAACAGAAAAGAGAAACATTGTGACAACGTTGACAACCCCAAACTGCGAATAGCAATTTTTAGCCTTTTCAGCTTGTTGTCACAACGTTACATTACGATAAAGTTATGTGTTTGCATTTGCATTGCCAGTGACATTGTTTACAATACAATTTCACACACCCCAAATTTATAGTAGCCTATAGATCATAAAAAAATAATAATAAAACTGAATGGGGTGCACAATACTTTGGCTAAATTCACTGAGGGCCCCTTTGTGCTCCGACCTCCCCCACTCTTAAGCGAATGGTACACTCCAAAAAGACACGGAGCATGTGAATCAAAATGAAAACACTGAAACACTGAGTGCCATCAGATAGGCTATATACACTAGAAAGAAAGGAAATCCGGAGGGATACTAAAAAGGCAGGTTTGTCATGATCCCGAATCAGTTTCAAAACATCTGGACTTGTTTAAACAAATTATGTGAACCAGTTCCATAGGCTATAGGCTTAACATCGTGACACACCAGTTGTCTTACTAGATCACAACCCGGATTCTGAATGCTTCGGAATGGGAAAAACCTTCGCCACAAAGGATGCTAAAACTGAGTTATCAGCGCTTTGTGTAAGCAATTAAACCCACTGATCTCGAGCTGTCACAATAACGGTAAGTTTTGTGTTATTTTTCCCCATCTACGTCCTTTGTTATTCATATTTTGCGCTGTTATTGTAATCAAGTTTGCGAACCTTAATATATCGTTAAAAATAATAATATTTCAAGTTTTTTTTCCAAGAGTATTGCTGGTATATGCTAAACACTGAAGCCTATGTTGGAGGGTTTGTCCAGTCCTTTGTCCACAATGCGTTTGAATACGGTGGACAGACGTTGTTAAAATGCAGTGCAAAAGATAAATGCTTTTAAGAATATCTTCTCAAAGATGTTTTCTGCCATTTTCATCTACACGCGATAAAAAAAAAATTGGCAGCGGAGTCGTTGTCGTTGAGCCATTGTTCAGTCCATTGTGTGTGTTCTTTTGTTTCTCGCGCTGTATATACATTATCCCATATGGTGTTGTTTTTTCTCCTATAGTGTACATAACAGCTGAGTACTGTGTCATGGGAGCAGCAACAAGCTGCAATCATATGCTCTGCTTTGGTGCTTTGTTGTGGAGAAACGTTTTTCACAAACACTTATTAATGTATCCGCCGAGAAAATAAGCGGGATTAATCACGTTCGATAGCTGTGGAACAAGTCACGTGTGTCTCACGACAGAACTCGCTTATTGTTTTGTTATGTTATGGCGTCACTGTAGTGATTCTATACCCACACTTTACCAATAAAATATTTCTAGATACACAATTCACAATACGTTAGGCCTACAACTTTAATATTGAATATATTCTATAAGGTAACATTCTGTAATTGTAGCCGCACAAATGGCCTAAAACAAGTCTGAAGTGTTCAGTTTATAGATTTGACTAGCCTAGATGTTTATAGATTTGGTAAATTAATTCAAAAATAGGTGTCAATTCATAATTCGAAAGTCATAAAGAACTCAGTACAATATTCTCAATATTGATAATTTACTACCTCTTTTAGTCTATATTTTCAGCAGCTGAATCCTGCTCTTTGTAATGGCTTTCAGAAAAGGGTTTTGTTTTAGACACTTTGGTGTGTAGTGTTGAAAACCTTCAAGCCTTCTTACCCTTTCCCCCCTGTCCTAATCTATTTCTGCTTATTTCAACAATATTTAGATGGGAAAATATTTAAATAAGAGCACATGTATTGAAACAATTTGCATCCCCTGGTATTAGGTTGATTTCTATCTCTACACTCTAATAAAAAACAAATAAAACAAAGAAGATTACTGAAGTATACGTTTTACAAGAAAATACCATTTCAGTATTTCTACTGCAAAATGTCATGCTTAATCATGCTTACGCTACGATATACTTTATTGTCCCCTTAGGGAAATTTTTCTTGGGCTGAGTGCATGCTGCATTTTCAAATCACACAATAAATATGCAAGTCACATGTGTCTCACATAAACAGTCCATACAGGGGAGCAAAACATATGGGTCATATTGCACAGCTAAAAAGGCCACTATTATTGCACAAATAATTGCTGCATAAACCATAAAACCAGCAATAAATAACAATAACCAACAGTAAATACGAATACATGTTAAATAATCAGTGCTAACCAGAGACAAACATAGGCCTTTACCCTTGCCATTTAAGATTCTAATGGAGGCAGACACAGAATAGTTTTTAAAGCAGTTCAGTTGAGTCGACATATGGGCACTCTACCTTCTTCCTGAAGGCAGAAGCACATACTCAGGATGTAGGATGAAGGATCAGCCAGTATCCTGTGTGTCTTTCAACTCCACTATTTTAATTGCAGTCTGGACAATGTGAAAGTCTGTTTTTTAAATGTATAGAGAGGTTACCACACCAAGCTTGGATCCTGTACCTGATTAGACTCTCCAGAACAGCCTGATAAAACAGTCATGATTTTTTTTTTTTGACACCATACAGTTTGAGTCTCCTCTTGTTGATTCTTTGTAATTTGTGAAATTTACTAGCAATTTCTAAATGAAAATTGTTTCAAAGTAAGTCCTTCACCATTTTATTTTGCAGTGAATGTAAATGAGTGTTATGTAACTTGTGTGGCAGATTTCTGTTTTGGGGAGAATGGGATTTCACGTAAATAATTAAAAAGGGTATAAGCATTATCTATTTTTGATGGAAAACAGAGCTTTTATTTAAAAAAGAAAAAACACACACTCTTTAAAACTTTCTAAAAGCTTTTATAGCTGCACTGATTTACTGAACACCTCTAACGTGCCGTAGAGAATTAATGTATTCTAAGGCTGGCCATTTTCCAACCACCCATCTATTATGAAACATTTGCGAACAAGGAAACACCGCTTTTTTTCTCTCCACAAACAAGAAAGCGTGACTATTTAAGGAAAATACTATTTAAAAAGGTAGAGTCACAACAAGAAATGTCCTCATTTGTTCAAGGATTCCCAATACAATTATATAAAATAAATGTTCAGATGTAAAGCACAGCTGTGCGAAACAATGCACAAAAAGAGAGGTTAAAATAATGGGTGGGGTGGGTAAAGTGTGATGAGAGTGAAGTTGTATGAAAGCCAAGTGCTGTTTTCCGTAATGATGACTATTATGTAATAATGGATTGATGGAGGAAGCAGCAGTGGCCCTCAGAGATCCATGTCTAATTGAGTCAGGCTGCAGCACACCAAACATGTTTGGATTTGATTTGAGGGAGAGTGTAAGACGAAGTTCAAAAGAGAGATAGTGATGCAAAGAATGAATAGATTTTGGTACGGCGGAAAGAAGAACCCATGATGGCAGGGGAAGAGTGGGGGAAACGGAAAAAGACATGTACAAAGGTGAGTGGGAGAGCAAGAGAAAGTCGATGATAAATCCATTAATCCATTTCAGTGTTGTTCTGCAAAGCAGTTATAGTTTCTCCATGCAAACAACACTTGAGACGTTTTGAAGCCGGATAAATTAAACCAATCATAAAATCAATTTCAATCAACAAGACTAAGAATTAAATTCTAAAACATTTCTAATCATTTTCAGAAAAATGCTCTATTTGCCACGACTTTCATGATGGAGAGAATTAACTTTTGATACACTCTTCAAAACAAAGGTTCCAAAAGGGGGTGTTTCACATCGATGCCATTAGAACACCCATTTTTGGTTCTCCAAAGAACCTTTCAGTGAACAGTTCTTAAAATAACCATTTTTTTCGTAGTGATAAAAAACATTTTAAACATCTAAAGAACCCTTTTTCCAGGATAAAAACCTTTAGTGCAATGGAAAGGTTCCATGGATGTTATAGGTTCTTCATGGAACCATCAATGCCAATAAATAACCTTTATTTATAGAGTGTATACTGTTCAGAAGTTTGTCTGTAAATTTTGTCCTGTAATTACATCCCCTGTCTCTTTTGTTCGAGCTGTTCTTGCACCGATCATCGCTTTCCATTCTTATGTCGTATTTGTCTCCGATCCATTTTTCTACCTTCTGCAAGCAACATGTCTTTGTGCATGGGAAAGAATACTGGCAGATTGTAATTGTCTCATAGGCACATCACTCATCTTTTATACATCCTTGGCTTTTAAAAGGCTTTGAATGCCTCTATAAGCAAGTACTCCATATGATACATTAGAGCAGATGTTTGGCGAGTCATGTAATGATATAAGAGCAGGCAAAATATTCCCAAGTGCACATTATACATCTTTCTACTGATCCTCTGCCATGCTATGAGATTTATGGTTTAAATTAGTGCAACACCCTGTGTTATTTGCTGTGGATGTGAGAGATGAGTGACTATCTTAGTTTGGCTTCACAATGTTCTCTCAAGTGAGAAAAAAAAGGACAAAAAAGATTTTTGTATGAGCTAGTGAGCTTGAACTGGAGTAAATTTATCATTTTATCCAGCCTTTCATAAATTCCCTTCAGCTGCATTTATGATGCATAATTTTTTCTGAAAACTATGCATCTGAACATTTTTCAGTTGGAGTCCAATTCAAAGCTTCTTAATGGGTCAGCAGATGGTTTAAGCAACAGATGACGGTTAAGCTAATGTTTGCTTGTAGACTCTGGTGTTGATTTGTAGTCGTCATGTTGGACTTGGCTGAGGAAGAACACTTTAATCTGAGAAAAGCCTATTTAGATATTCGTATCTCATCCCCAGCTGAAATCACCAGAGGTTTCCAAGGAATCCGTTCAAAGAAGAGAAATGGGCATTTATATGTTGAAGATGTTGCTGGATTTGGCTTTGGTGTTGGTTGAATCAGTTGTAATAAAGGCTATAGTGACAAAAGAGGCTAATTCCTCTTCCTGGTGCATTTTATCATTAAAGTCAGCATGAAATGGATTGTGATGTATGGGCTTCTTCAAAAACAACAATTATTGGGCATGATTTGATTTTGTCCATCGGCAATTGATCATTGTGGTTTGCGATCTCATTTGATTGACAGGAAAGGAAGTTACTTTAAAGATAATGATGGCACATTAATTTAACCCTGTTAAACCTGGCATATGAAATAATCTCAGAATGCAATTTTTTTTAAATGGAAAAGTTTATTGAACCTTTAGACCAACGTGATTTCATGAGTATTCGCATGTATTTTTTTAACGTAAAGTGTGGTTCTACCACGCGTACATTTACTTACGTTCCCATAGACACTGAAACGCACAATACTGATGTATTGATAGCACTAAAACGTAAATTATTTACGTGTGAACTGTACAGGTGTACATGTACAAATCCTTATTTATGAATATTAAAATCGTGGCATTAAAGCGATAGTTCACCCCAAAATAAAAATTTTGAAAAAAAAAAAAAAATGGTCCACTACCATCAACTATCTGGTTACCAACACTCTTCAAAATATCTTCTTTTGTGTTCAGCAGAAGACAGAAACTCATACAGGGTTGGAACAACATGAGGGTGAGAAAATTATGACAGAATTTTCATTTTTGGGTGAAAGGGCGTTTTCACATTATAAGGCTGTGACTGACAATAGAAACATAAAATACACCAAAAACGCAATATAAATGATATTATATAATTCTTTTGGTGCCGCTTTTGACATTTTTGCAATGAATAAATTATTGTGATT